ATTATGGAAATGGAAATTGAAAAGGTAAGCTTCACTGTGTTGACACAAAGGATATGGAAGTCCACAGTCTGAATGCTTTTTGCTGTTTCAATGTCATCTCTTGGTATTATCTTTTATTCATGTATATTGAAGCAAATGTACAAAAAACCTTCTCAACTCGTTCTTACAAACTAAGGCTGCTTTTTCCACATACCAGAGAACATAACATGTAAGAATGCCACGTTAAGTCATGGCTTTTAAATGGTATAGAATAGAAACTTTAATCTTTTCAGAAAACATTTAGGACAGGTGTAAAGTCCCAGATATTTTACTGGCTTTTTATCAGGACTTTGACTAAATGTGATGGAAAAAGCAAAAAGGTTACATTTAACCTATATTTGCATGTGTAAGTATTTTCTGGAAGACATGTATGGTCATCAGTTGTCCCTCACCAGTCCCTATGTAACAGAGTAGGTAAAAGACAGTATGGAAAGGACAGAATTACAGTTAAAACACTCAATTCTCTTAACTCAAATATAAATTAACCTGCAAATATAAACTACCTCACAACTTTCATTCTTCCACAACTTGATGTGCTACATCCCAAAGATGGAAGGGATCGGGATACAAGTAATTAGGAAAGCAACAGTATAAGTATCAGCCAGATAAAATGTATGTGTGTGTATATATATATTACATAGACACACACAAATACATACACAAGCACACACACGAGACAGCAATTAACATATTTAAATACCTATGTATAAGGCAACTGCAAAGCTGCACAAACCGCAGCCAGTAACTGTTAGCACTGAAAGCTGCTTGAAACTTTAAGGAAGTAATTAACCTCCTGGCCCCCAGTTTTCAAGCCCAAGGAGCAGACCATAGAATTTCTTTTACAATTTATGAACAAGCCAAGGAATTTATATCACAGTCGGAGGATTCTTTTGCTGAATTAACCCCAGTTCCCTCTGACCCTAAGAAGTCATAAACCAAGAGGATACAGCAGAGGGAGAATGTGCTATAGTGTTTCAGCTGACCTACAGAGCACTGTCTCTGTCATGCCAAGGCTGGAAACTCAGATGATGAATTACAGAGCAATATGCTAGGTTCAGATGCAACCATCAACCCCTTCCCTCTATACATGCACACGCAGACATGTTCACTCACCCCAAACCAGCTCAGTTTCTGCAAAAGGCCAAGTACTGTTAGGGCTCATTTACAGAGTCTTACTCTAAGATAAAAGAGGAAAGAAAATTGCTTATCAAGGAAGCATGCATGCATCTGTGAGTAACAATATTTAAGAACACATGCTGTGTACTAAATAAAAGCCTAAAACCCACTGAGCTTCTGCTTTTGTATATGGATTATTAAGCATATTAAAAATACAATTCCAAAGCAGAACCAGAAGTGTACCCAAGAACCTCGACTTTTATAAATAACAGCTTTATAAATAAAAAAATGATGAAAATTGATACACAACTCTCTTTAAAAGAGCTCTGCCTGGCTTTATTTTGTAAATACAGAACAAAGCCTCTTACACAAAGCAGCTAATAAAACAAAGTCTAGCTGACCACGTGCACAGAAAATGGGATAACACAAACGTCTGCACCCAGACCTCAAACCTAATCAGCTGTAATCACTAAGACATGAAGGTCTTTGCAATATTTACACTTATGGTGTACTGCTTAGTTGCACCAAAAGCTCAGCCCCAGCTGAAGGCTTATTCACAAAGATGAATCATCTCTTGAAAACAGACAGTGGTGGGTTGTTTCACTTCTAGCTCAGAATGAAAAGGGATACTTTGAAGTCTGACAGAAAAAAAAGAGAGGACAGTTTTGAATTGATTAATTCAAAACCACAGAATTTAATAGATACCAAGAGCATGAAGTATTCAACACTGTAACATTTAGAAACCAAACATCCATCACTGAATAAAATAAGTTTGTAGCTCCACTGTTTGATGAACTGAAAATTTCTTACTGCTCAGAAAATCCTTGAAACATTATCAAGGATTTTCACAATGCAGTGAACTTTATTACTAAAAGCCATCAAATGAGTACTCAACTTTTTTTGTACTGTTTGCAGATGACATAGATTCCCTTCACCCACTACCCTTACTTTCTTTGCAAATGATGCAAGCTATTCCTCAGAAAGCTATGCTTCCTCAGGCCCACTGAACATCGGACAACAATTTCCTCCTGCGATTAGTCTGCATGTATTTTGATCGCAAACAACTTGGCTGAAGTCTTCAGGTGCAGCACAAGTCAAAACCACCTCTCCAGAAGTACAACATGAATCTAACTATGGCATTTTCTTACTAAACCTCACGTCAGGCATTTTGCCATACAACTTACAAGTGATTATTTTTTTAAACCAAAATACCCAGCATATGGGCCACTCCTCCCCCCCCCCCCCCTTTTTTTTCTTCACATTTCATTGGGATAATCAAGAAATGGTGAGGAATCATAACAGAATGACATCAAAAATAACCATGAAAATGTATTTCAGTTGATTCTCACAGTGAAGGATGTGAATCATAAAATTTTCCACCAAAAATGTGATTGACATCACAATAGCAGCTAGACTGGAAGAGGAGAGGATCAGAGTTTATTTATCACAGGTCATTATAAATGAATTTAGCAAGGCATTTTTCCCAAATGAGTAACTCTCTTTAAAATGAGTGCTTCTAGCTTTTTAGGTAAAGAGGCCTTGGAAGGCCTTGAAAGTTCCCCTCCTTCTGCAGTGTTATTCTTTCCTAAGTTGTTTTCACACTGTGTATTCCCATAATTCCAACCTGTATCATCTCCTGGCAAGGTAGTTTCTCCCACCGTATTTAATTTACTAATGTACTGGAAATCTTCAGTACCCTTCTACTTCAAGTAAGTTCAAAATGTCAAAGTCTACTGTTTCTCATATAATAGTGGCTACAAATTTTGCAAGGCTCTATAGTCAAGGTTAGAGGTCTCTGGTGTGTGGTTTCATGAAACTCACCTTAGCCTAACTCCTAAATTTAGGAAACCCTGCTTGAGAAAGATGAAACATTAAATGTAACTGGTAGCAGCACATGCGTGAAAAGCATTTTCACTCAGACAGCTATAAAGCATTTTCCCAAGAGCCATCTGCACTATCAACTTGAAAAACTAGGGTGTTTCTACTCTGTGCAATCTGATGTATAACATCAATAGTACACAGAAAACATACCTAAAGTTTAAGGAAAGCGCCTGTGAAATAAGAAAAAACAAAAGCACCACACTAGTAAAGGCAATAAAGCAGACTTGCCCACAAAAAACATTGGAGTGTGAATCCAGAGATTTTAATGAAGAATTAGAGTAACATTTTAATATTCCTTTAAGCATTGAAAAAAAAAAAATATCTATAAAAGTAATTTTCATGAAAGTATGCCAAAATATCAGAAAATTGAAGGGTAATGTAGCTCCTCATGGGATGGCAAAGTGAAGGTAAAGAAATATCCATAATAAAAACAGCAAAATAACTTCATTAAAAAAGTTAACACAGATTAGAAATCAAGGCAGTCATATTCCTAGAGGCCTAGACTGATGTGCTGAGTGACTAACTAACAATGCTATTGAATTGCTTCCTTTTATTTCCATCTACCTGATTAAAGTACAGGCCAGGTGGGTAAGTGGTTGGTCCTTCCAAAAGGCACAGTCTACCAGGGTTCTCTAAATCCTCATATCATATGATCCATGAGTGTTGGGGTGGGTTTTTTTTCTTTCTCTTCTCTGCATCCTCAGGAAGTCAAAAAAAGAAGAGAAACCCACAGCGTACAGGACAGAAGACTGAAAAGAAAGACAGAACAGATGAGATTGTGCAGGACAGAGTTTGAAAGGAGTTAGTAAGGTGGAGTTGTAGAAGAAAGAACAAAATAAAGAGGAGGAATGGACAGAACTGCTTCATTGCAATTCCGGGTCTTGCCAGCTTTGACCTTCATTGTCTTTTGTGTCTATGATTACACAGTATATATGAACCACCCAAGCAGAATGCATACACAGAGGCTTATATGTATATGTTTTTATACAGCTGCTATGAGGGATAAATGTTCCAAATGTGGAATTTAGTAAAGAATAAGAGCTAAAGAAAGAATTCAGTTTTAGCCTTTTATCCTGACTGCAGGCCCAGGATAAAAATTTGCTAGTGTCTACAGCAGTCAAATCCAAAAATCACAATATATCAAAAACTAGTAAAACCTGTAATCTTAAGAGGTGGTCTTTATAGACTGAAGTGATTAAGACTTTTCCAAACATAGTAGAAAGCCAAATGATTAAAACCACCAATTCTGTCGTCTCCCTGCAAACCAAATTTGCTTATGCGAAGTGAATGGAATGTCATAGGAAGGCTATTTGTTAACTGATGCTTTGACCATTTTATGTTGGAAACAAATTATCACAAAGAAACCCCTTTCTGCTGCCTACCGCTTACTTGAATGAAAGCATAAGCTCGCAAAATGAAACCTATCAACATGACAACGCCTAATTTATTTTCAGTGTGTTTACAGAAGCACATATATAACACAATAGGGAAACAGTAATGCAGTCTGAGTGGCAATATAAAATAAGTTGCATAACCCAGGTATATTCGGAGCCCAACAGAGTCAGATGTTGCAACAGAAAATAAATTTTGAGTTAAAGCATACTCAAGGTATAACATTCTAACTTGAGTAACGTGCAGGTTGTGATAAGTTTAGAAGTTACATTAGTATGAAATCAGAGTTTCAAAACACCTCAGCAGCCACAGAGACTAACGAACTCATATTGTATATACATATAAATATTGAGATATATATATACACACACACGTTCATACATAATTACAATTAAGAAGAGAACCTGGTTTTACACATTAAGCAGGTAAAATGTCTGAAGAAGATGCTATGTTAGGCCCAGCTGTAAATTTGCATTTCTGTTTGTAGATAGACAAGTTGTGGACATACTTCCAGATACCTTGTTATATATTTAGAAAGTCATCTCTGTCCATTACAATAAACAATACTGTACCTGTATGGCTTCGAATATGAACTCTCAGTGTTCCATTGCTTGCAAACTTCTGTCCACAATATGGGCAAATCTTCTCTTTTTCTCCTGTGTGAGTCTACATGGGGTGAGAATAGACAAGAATGAAAAATTCGGCATAGCTTTAAAAGAAGTGAAATATGGAATATTTTAACTGTGTTGACACTGACCACTATTATCTGCATTATATATTTTATACCATCACATGAGGCAGAGATTCTAAGGTATTATCTATAGGTGTTCTTTCAATTTTCTTCTAAAATTTCTAAACAAATCTCATTATTAATGGCAAAATAAAGTAGCTTTTCAGTTCTTAAGTTTACTATTTCCTAAAGAGTTACTATTAAAAATGCCCAATTCACCTTTGTGTATTTTCATGATTGCAAGAGTAAGACACCTATTTTTCAGTTTGATATCTGTAATAGGGGTTTCCAAACCAGCAAACAATAATTTGGTTACCTAATAAAGTTAATCTTCATAAATGGGTCTATTCTTAAAAGCTTATAATTTCACAGAATTTTATTACATTATGAAAGGTAGTGAAAATAGTTTACCTAGCCTAATATAACTTTTCCTGTTGAAAACTTGAACTGGAGCTTTAGAAGGTCTCCGTGGAGATCTGTGCATATAATTTCTGACTGACTGTCTCATACGAATGAAACACAGCCATCAGTTCATCTGAGGTATGACAGACAACAATCCTTCAGAGTGCAAGTTCTCAGTGATTTCAGTCAACACAAATTGCATACTGGATCCTATCTAGTTTGTAATAAATGCTAGAATCAGATTGCATTTAGAGAATTGATCACAAGAAGTATATTGTAATTGTCACTAAAACTAAATCATACCCTGAGCTTGTCTTTTGAAATCAAGCTTTTAAGGCTGGAGCGCCTTGCTGATATAAGAAGAATTATTTAAAAATAGGAAAAAAAAAAAAAAAAAAAATCACAAAATCTCCCATCCAACCTGTGTGGTCAACAGCAAGACCACCTTGAAGTTACATACATACATGGGTTCTCATAATTTTTCAGTGTGCAATTCTGAACTGAAGATTTATCAGCCTATTGAATAATTTTTCCTTACAACTGTGACTGCTCTTTTAGTGGTGAATTTTGGATTACTTATTTGTAAGTATAGGTTTAAATGGGATAGGAAAAATAACACATTAAATTATATGTATAGCTGACTATTTGGGTTTTGAGCTTTGCACATGACTCTTCAGATACAGAAATTAAGTCTTATTTTTATAAAGATATTGAAGTGTCAAAATTCTTCATTACAACGTAAAAACCTTATCTCACATAGCACATATTATGCTGCAGCTGAAGGAAGCATAAATGAGATATCATTCCAATACTGGACAGACTTGCGTAGTTTTCATTCCCTGACATTAGGGATATGAATGTTAAATCCCTGTTGATTAGGATAGAGTTCTTTAGATATCACTTATATCTCTAACAGCGACAGATAGCCAGCTATTTATTCATACCAAACAAGTGGGGAAAAAAAAAAAAAAAAAAAGGATTTCCAGGAGCAGTACATCACAGCTACAAGGCTCACAAACATACAGCTAGTCCTAGTCTGACAGCAGCACAAAGCAATAGCAATTACAATTAAGAAGGAATGTCAAAAAAAAGAAAAGAGATAATGATAAACGCTAGCTGCTTTCCATTAAAATACAAATACATATATGTATATGGCCATTTTTAACATGAAATAGTAAGTCATACTGAACTTTTTAGAAAGAAATCTAAGGAAAAGTTTAAAATTTATGCACAGCTCAACCATGATTCCAGGTATCTGCATTTGATGGCAACACCTGTGCTAATTTGTTCTTGATTCAATTATTTTCTTCACATTTCTTCCCTGTAACAAAATTCTTACCTCAGGCCAAACAAGTGAGCAAGCTTTCTTTTAAAGTTTACCCCAATTCCATTGCAGAGATTGGTGGAAAGGAGTTTGGTAAGAGCAATGCAGCAAGTTCCATTGTGCCACACACCTAATGCTGGAGTACCTACACTGGATTTATACATATGCACCCGCTGCAGATTGTGCATGCGACCAACAATCCCACTATTGCAATAAGCATTTTAGGATGTTAAGAACCATCACAGCTTTCTACTGAAAACCAAGAAATGCAGAAGCATCTAGGGATTTTATATTTAGTCACAACCTTAAGGACACAGAAGTATGACAGAACTGATTCTACTTACTTTTTTGTGACTCTTCAGGACTGAGGGTGTCACAAAAGCTTTGTCACAGAGATCGCACTTGTATTTCTTATGTCCATCGTGTACAACTTGAATATGAACATTTAATGTGTCCTTTCTTTTGAAAGTAGCATCACAGTGATCACACTTGAAAGTCCTCTCACCTTATAAAAACAAGGTTTAAAGATACCAGATTTTTGTGGAAATACATTAATGCTTATTGTTTCAGAAAAATGAATAAAAGAGGCAAAGACAAATGAACAGCTAGGTCTTGAGAACATAAAGAAAAGGAGCATCACATCAGGTAAAAATGCCACTGGGAAATTAAGTAGTAATGACAACAACATAGTAAAAAATGAGAGTTTAAACTCTATAGCCAATGGCGAAATGGCAACCAGTAGAAATGGCTTCCAGTGAAATGGAGCACAGGTTTTATCAGCACCTCCAGTAACAGACTCTCTTTATGCTAACAAGCAAAAAGATGAAATAGGCTTCATCTTTTGTAACTTAAATGGTAAGAGACATCTTTCTGAATTTAAAAGAATTCTCAAACCAAGAAATACTTGCTTTGAGTAACCCATCTCATTCACATCAATAGAGGCAATTTCATATGACAAAGATGAAATAACTTTTAGATGTTATAGCAGTATTCAAACTGTGGTGATGTCGTTGAAGGTTATGGCAGAGGCCAGGTTAATATTGCTAATAGTTTTAAAATTCAATGAATTACCCAAGAGAGGGGAAGAGACATTGTATTCTGAAAATATGCATACATCTGGGGGGGGGGACGACACACACGTGATTCTTCAGAGAAATCATTATAATGAACCTTCTCTTTATCACTACTGTGAATACAGAAGAGAATATTCTCTTCTATTTGTTAACTTCTTGATTAAAATTACAAGTTAAACATCTGCAATATGGCATTCATTCAAAAATACACAGCCTAAACTGGAAATCAGGTGCCTGTATCCCAGAAAACTTGCCAAGCAGTTACATCACAAAGAAAGATCAGCATAATCTAAGGACTATTCTCCACTTCTTATTTTTCAGGACAAAGGTCTGATCTGCAGCCTCCTGATCCAAGTAAGATGCAGACTTGTATAAACACAAGCTAGTTTTTCCAGTAGCAATGATGCACACGTAGAGGTACACTTATTTCCTTGCTATAGCTCATTAAAGGATAAAATCACCCCAGCCTTGGTCCCAGTGCAAAGGCCAATATGAATGGAAATTGGTTTCAGTGTGCTGCTTATTAAAGCCCATTTGATGCTACATGTTGAAGCACCAAAACACATTTTTATTATATATTATACATACAATACATGTAAGTGAAGCTTATCAATACAGTGGTGCCTCAAGTACCCACAGACATTCCAAAACCTAGATAACCTGTTTCTCTCCCTCATAAATCAAGCATAACTGCCCCCCCTCACCCCAACTGCTCATTCTCAGTTGGTTTGGAAACAAAACTGGTTTTGTCTTGGATGACACAAGAATATGCTAAAAAGTATTAATAGTGTAAGTTGACTTATCCTAAAATACTTTCAGTGTACCTATTCAGAAAAATTGTCAAGGTCAACAGGGATGCAATTTAATATGCTGCTATGTGGAGGTTTAACACTGATACTGCTTCTAACTGTTCAGTGAATAACTTCAGTTGTTGTCTTGGGCACATGGGACTACCATGCTAACAAAGAAAAGTCATTACTATTTTTAGTAAAGTAACAAAATTTTCTACTGCTTCAATAAAGGAAAAATACTCAAGTAATTTCTTTTAAAAATAACTTCTTATAAGAAATTCTAGGCTTCATGGATTTTTATTTTTTTTTTAGGTAGTCATTTGTTTCTTCCCAGCTTTTAATGACTTGGCTCCAAGTCTGACAATAAATTGAAAAAAAAAGAAGCAATACCAGACATAATTTGAACAAATTGCCATGTCTTCTGAAGCAAGAAATATTTGTTTGATTTCCATAAATTTACATGATATCATTATGGTTTAAGACATGATCCGACATTTGTTGCGTTTCAGAAGGATTTGTCCTTTTTATCCTAAAGTTCTGTTTGCAATCACGCCTATCATTTTCAGTACTGCACTTCTACTATGATTTGAGAAGATAAATTACTTTCAAACAGCAATAAAAAAATAATAAGGTAGTAAAAGATCAACCAGTTTTCAAATAAAAAATCTCCAAAGTCAGGGAATTTCAGAACTAAAATACTGTTCAACCATATCTCCTCTGTGTGTACATATTATAATACTTTTCAACTATATATAGTTGCAATGCCAAGTATGTATTTGGCCAAGTCCTGGCATTCCTGGCATCAGATTAGCAAAATTTTCAAAATGCAAAGTAATGGGAAGCCTGGAACTGGGTATTTTTTCAAACGTTATCCTGGATGAAGGCAAATAATTAGTGTTTCTCCTTAGCTTCCTTATTTAGCAGAAACCCTATATCTCATTATAGGAGAGCCATCAGAACACTCTCTCCACTCACAGTTGGCTCACTGAACAGTCTTTATGTCTTGTCTTTTTTTTTTAAGCCATAGACAAAGATGCACAAAAACTTAATAAAAAAATACCATTCATACGCAACTATGGAAGGAGATTCAGAAGGTTCCTAAATGGCATAAAGCAAAAGTTTAAGTCACTTGCAACAAGTTGTGAGTGCTAAAACTCCCTGAGCCACTCTGGAAATCCTCTTGTAGAAGACTGCAGGAAAAAATAGAGCTACGCAACCTATTTCATGATACCTCATTGTTGTGATAAAGAACAAACAGATTTCACATGGTAAACGTAAGAGCATGTCTGTTGCTTGAACTATCACTGTCAAAACACAAACTCTTTCCGCTGCCTTTGGCAGATAAGAGTAAGATGAAAATTACCAAATAAACTTCTAATATTAATGTATAAGAAATAAAGAATTTCCATTATGTATTTTCAGTCAACAGGCTTGCATTGTGCTAGATCAAGAGGTTTGTTACAAAATAAAATAGCAAAAGATATACATAGATTCTTTTCTGGCCTAGGCAGAATGAAGTAAACAAGAAAGTATATCATTGACTTCATTCAGCTCTTGAAACTACTGAAGGAGGGAAACTTTTTCAAAGTACTTAACATGGAACTACGATATCAATACCCATAAATGCCTCCAAAGATGGAAACAGAGCACTGAAATAATATATCCTAAGGTGCTTTCCCGCAGAAATACACAACATACTGTGTATTTCCTGGGACTGGCTTGATCTACTCCACTGATGCACTCTCCTTATGACAAAACCAGATAATGAAAATCAGGGCTACTTCTGTTGAGCAAGCTTCAGTGCCCACTTCTGCTGACCCCTGTAGAGGGAGCTAATTAGTATTTCTCTTACTAACAAACATTCTGCATGTAGATTTTATCCTGGAAAGCAAATACATTAAAAGGATGATGTCCTTCTCAACAAATGCAATCCTGTTCATGCACAACCCTAGACAACTGAATGATCCAAGCAAAAATGCTCAGGGTTACTCATTCTCGTTAGCCAGGTCTCTTATGGCCTCATGAGCTAGTATTAGCCAAGTATGAGATACCATATATTTATCATGTACCATATATCCTTCCTAAACACTACAGCTGAGAATAAAGGGTTAGCCCCAGCATTGCCAATGACATAACAAGAACACAGTTACTAAAAGTATTATCAGCAACATGCCTAAAGGGAAAAGCTTGTCTGACTCAGAAGACAAGTTACATTTACACAGCTAGAACCTAGGAGAAAAAAAAAAAAAGAGTTTGGAAATTTTTTTTAATTATTTGTTAGACTTATTTGATCTTGAATTTTGAAAGTTATATCCACGATGCTTTTCTAATTTCAAGACAGGAACACACGAAAAGTCAGTTTATGAAATACGTTTTTTTCCAGTAAATTAAGTTTGTCAAATAAAATTTAGGTCATTCTACATCATTCTGCAGAGTGCCTGCTTCTAAAACAACAAGGGGATACTAAATTTAAAAAAATATATGATGTAGGCTGAACTTCAATTTCTCCTAGAAGTTTCAAGCTTCACAAAAATTTTTTCTTTCCTACAGCACAGAACAGTAAAGCCAGCTAAATAAATCTAAAAATTCTGGTTTGTTTCTCTCCTTTCTCTATAGAACAGGTATATTTCAGTGCTATGAGAGGGACTATCATCCAGCTGTAGCAGGACAATGCCTATAATTCTGAGTTATTTCAAATATGAGAAACTCATTATCATGGCAGCACAACTTGTCAGTCTCAGAGTTAGGTCATGAGGGGAAGAGTTCTACATTTCTTCACTGGGAACACAGGCTCTCCGCAGACAACAGCAGAGCCCCTTGTTTTAATCATAGCCTTGAACTGAAAACTGTTTATTCTTCAGTTCACCCTAGCAATGAGTTTCACTTTGCTATTGGTCTGTCAACACTTCTTTTATGGGACCCTACAGACAAGAGAGATACAGTATGACTATAAAAGCTGTGCTTATATTCTGCTGTATTAAGGCCTCCTTGTTAAGTTGGTTAGTTGTTGGGGTTTTTTTCCCCAAGTAAGCAAAAAATGGTTTAAAAATCTTCCCTGTGATTAATAAAAACACGAAATATTAGCAGTTTAAGGTTTTGACTCATTTTAGAGAAGGTTTTAGCTAAGATGGCATTAGTTACCACTTTCAAACACCTACTCTGTCGTTCAGCAAGACATGTCCCCTTTTGCACCAAGGAAGACTACTAGACAACATCTGTGCCACTGCAGTTCACAGTTTGATATATTTAATATTTGCTTAAATAGTGATGGTTCAGGAACAGCTAAACCTGCCACAAATCACAACCCTAACTCAAAGATCTCAGATTTCCTGAGTTCCCATCCTCTTAAAAAAAAAGTCAAAATATATGTTTTTAGAGAGACCTTTACCAAGGCCTACAATTCTGTGTACTGTGAATTAATGCTTTTGGATATTCTGCAAATTTTTGGTTCATTAGAATACACATTACTGAACTTTTTCCCCCTGTCATTTTTAACATTGGACAAAGATTTTACAAAATTCAATGCAGAAGCTTTGAAAGATAATTGTAAAAGAAGAAACTAAACAGGCCAGTCTAATAATTCATCTAACAGAAACACAGTTATACGGGATTAAAAAAACAAAGGTTTGTGGTTTTCTTAATTATAGCAATGTAAATATTCCCCAAATTAAAGTACTGTCTTCTAAGCTACAAGGATTTTAGATCATTAATATTTTCTAAAATCTAAATTACTTACATTCACGGGGTTGAATGGTAGTCTAGGACTCTGTAAATATTAAAGACGGAGAAAATTCCAGCAAAAATAAATCTTTACACAGTCAGTTAAAAAAATAATACAGAATGCCAAGAACAAGTTACTCAAGAGGGAAATGGCCACAGCATTTCTCTGGGCTGCTAGTTCTATGCCAGAGGCAGGAAACATTAGCCCGGGCTGGCACATGAGAGAGAATCTCAGTTTCAAGCTCTAAACCGGATTACCTACAAAAGCTGAGTAAGCCATCAAGTTATCTCTGCTTCCATTTCTCCTTTCTTAAAATGGAGGTAACAGTATCACACTTGATGCAGAAATAAATCTCTTGTCATCAGACCTCAAATCATCGCTAGATTTTCTACAGCATATTTGGATTTGCATTTAAGTGCATTTAAAGACAAGGTTTGAATTTAGCTCTGTATTTTCTAACTCCCTGGGGTTAGAGTTGAATCTTAATACTAATTTAATATAGCAAGTTGCATATTGGAGCAAGGTGCCATATGTCTGTTTTTCTCAGTCAAATGTGAGAACTGAGGAAGTTTCTTCCTCTCTGACTTAGCACTTACTGTTATGGATTAACAGATGTCTTTGCAGAGAGAATGGGGTTCGGAACAAAGCTTTGCATTCCTCACACTGGAATGGTCTCTCTTCAGAATGGGTCTGCAGATGAAAGACAACATGTCAGAGGAAAGGCTCAGGGAAATCAATTAGTTGTCATTACAATAATTATAGCTAATTTTCTAGACTGGATTCAGGAGGGGATATCACAGCAATTTGAAACATCAGGGGATGAAGAATTAAAACAATCATTCTGCCATTATCCAGAATCCTGAAAGTCAGCACAGCATCTACCAAATAAACGTACCTTCCCAGTCCTCAGAAGCATTACATGAGGAGTGCATATAAACAGAAACAAAAATACAGAATGACCAGGAAAAAAACTACAAGCTCAGTTGCACTGCTTCATCAGTACTAACACTGGCCTTAAATACTTACTAATATGAATAAATGCTTTAAAATTAAACACATACACAGAAAACCCTTTTTCTCAGTTAAGTTTGAAGGTAAAACTGATCTGATTGTCTCAAGATAGTATCTAAAATTTGGCAAAGAGAATTTCCTCAAATCATGAGACTAGTCTTACATATCGTTGTTTCAGCTTCTTGTATTAAAAGAAAAAAAAATCCAACAGAAAAAAACATAGAAGCATCAGTACCAAGATTTTTGTTTGCTGTAGAAAAATTTGTCATAGCTGAGAAAGAGCCTCAAAGCCATAAAGAAAAGGCTAAGCTTGAATGAATCTCTCAAACTGCAGAGTTGCTGAAGCAGATTTCTTTTCTGGAGCTTGGGAAACATCCAGCTTCGCTCTGCTTTTGTAAATTTCAGAGCACTTTCCCTGTTGCCTAGTGTTATTAAGTGCTGTCCCACTGTGGATAGTAAATTAATCTGTACAATTTATTATCTACCCACTTTCTTACTATTTTCACAAAGAAAAGCAAGTTTTTAAAGCATCAGTGCCTAAACATTATATTAGCTCACAAGGACCTTAAGTAGAAGCTGCAGTGCCAAGAGGAAAAGGGGATGGGCAGTTTTATAATATGCACAAAATTAAGTAAATGAGTTAATTTTGTAGACTAAGGGTAAATATTAGCATAGTACTTATTTATATAATCTATTTCTGCCATTCATAATACCATATGACATTTATAGCTATCCCTTAAACTATGGAGAAAAAAGGGACCGTGGGGACCCAGCATAATTATTTAGATGTACACTGAGGGCCTTGAACCTAGATTGATTTTAATACAATGTCTTCTTACACAACAGTACTAAAACATTAGATAGAGTACTTGCAACGGTATACAGTGGCTTTGAATTCAAAGTCAATTCCTTGACCTCAGCCTATGTCACTTAAAGCAAAAAGGCAACTGGAGCACCATCAAATGTGTGGAATATACCACGTTACATAAAAGCTGCTGAACATTTCAGTCCAGCTTCTACAGGTTTACATTACAGTTTGCATTAGTTGACACCCTGCTTGGTAGTCTCAGCAGTCAGGCCAAGGATTGACAGGACATGAAGAGACTGAACTACCTTCTCACCTCAATAGGTGGTTCCTCCAGAACAGGGTTGAGACATATTGACGAGACACTGTGGGGAAGCTCGCAGTGCTGCTGTCTGTGCTGTACCTGTTCTGTGGATAAATAGAAGGGTTCAGTCTCTAGGGCTGTCAATCTGGCACCTTTCACGAGCGCAAAATTCACGTTGTTTATTTTAAAAAATGCCCTGTTTTAGAACACTCGCCACTTGAGTGATAGTTCTGAAGAGCACAGTGATTTGTACAGAATTCCTTCTTAGCACCTCCTTGACAGTTCTCCTAGTCTTTTGATCAAAATACAAGTATTCATCTGCACATCTTAACTTCACTACAAAGAAAAACACTTAACTAGGCATACCCACATGCAAGGGTACACAGATCATCTGCCTCTTTTGTGAATGGTCCTGAAACAAGCTAGGTCTATTACTAAAAGCCATGCAAATCTTAGTGAGGAGAGATATCCCTTCAAACAAGCATATTAGTTCTAATACTGTCCCTTTTTGTCCTACTAATAGGTTCCAGATCAGAGATGGCTTCCATTCAGTCAAAGCAGGGGACAGCCCTACTATCAAAGCAATTGAGGATGGGTTCTTATGGAATATTTCATGGCAGCCTTTCCTACCATAGCATTTGTGGAGGTTTAAACCCAGCCCAAGGCTACTTATTCCCAATAGAGAAACTGAGGAAATACAGTTGTTTCAATTCATTATGCTTGCCAGGACCGAATAAACCTGGATTAACCATAAACCCTTTAAAATCCCGTGTCTGCTGACCTATTTCTGCTCAGTGTCATATCTTCATATTTTATTCTCTGATCTCATCCTCTACGCACAGCAATAAAGGAGCAGATGGAACAAAAACTTTTCTTTCTCCTGTATGGAAGTAATCTACATTATATGGCACAGAACACGCACCTTCATCCAGTCTAACCTGGATGAAAGGCGACTACTTTTATCTGTAGCACAATCCAATACTACATTTGCCTCAATCTCAGATACTCTTCTGTTCTCTTGCAAGAAAAATGGAACCATGTTCTTCATATGATCACTTAGTCATATAGTCTGAGCTTTTTCAAAAGACATCTAAGCTAATTCCACATTGCATAACACTTCTCAGTGCTGACATCTCCAAGCAAGTGACAAAGCAGGCTTGCACATGCACATACACAGAGCAGCATAGTACTTGTACAGAAGCAGTACATCAGAGAGGTACCACAGGAAGACTAACAGTTCCTGCCTCTCAGACCTGTAGCTGTAAGGGCGTAATGAGTGCTAAGTTAGGGTTACAATGCTCCACTGAACAGAGCAAATATACGCTTAGCAACTCCACTATCTATCTTCCAGTGAAATCCTGTGAAATCTGAAGAACTAATCTCCTTCTGCACCTTTGAAATGACCCAACATTCACCCACATCTGAAAGATGTTTAAAAGCACATGTTGTGGGAGCCATTTTTATTCTGATACTTCCAACACAAAATCAGATTAAACAACCCCCATAAAGGAATCACAGAAACAACAGCAACAGGTGTCCACCTAACACACAAAACAAGAATTCAAAGGCACAAAATGTATATGAATCCTGTTTTTTATTATAAATAAGAAGTATGTAGCTCTTGTGTAAAACCCAAAGAGTTTTTTCAAGCATGTTCCTACCAAACTTGAAAGCATGTTTTCCATTAAATGTTGATTTAAGTGTTTTTAACTGCTATACCCATCATTTCTACCACAGGTTTCTAAGCTCCCCGCTACTAGCACAGTAGCTGCATCCTGGAACTCAAAAAAAGCACTGTGAAATTACTGAGAGTCCAATTTTTCTTCCTCCAAAAGAAAACGAAACCTAGGAGGATGTCTTAAAGGAATACACACCTAAAGAATCATTACAAACCTGAGCTGAAGAAATACATAGAAGTATGATACACAATAAAGGCTTAAATTTCCACTGTTACTAGATCGACATTCCTGTGAACAAGCAAAAGAACTATTGTCCTCTTTCCCTAGTAGTAGCGCAGCCCTCCCAGAATCATGGCACTTAAAACTATTTTGGCATCCCAAACTACCACATCCTTGACTTACACCTTACAACTAGTTTTGTATATATACATCCATACTCCCCTCCATTACCTACTACCTCTCCTTGTTTACATTGTTTACTCAATGGAGAGAGGCATGTCTACAAAAGCAATTCAGGACATCTATGTCAGTCTCCAGTCTCTCATGCTCACCTCTTCATGTAGTAAGTGAAATTAGAGACCTAAATGTGGATGGGTAAATATTTACAGCTGTTTGGGTAAACTTTATGTAAACACAGGAATAAGTTTCTTTCATTATAGGACAGGGTTGATTTACAGCCAGTACTATGTGCAAACAGGTTCAGGAAATGAGTATCCCAACATGCTTTAAGGAATTCTGTCAAAATTAGGTACTCACTAAATCTGTCTAAATTTTAATATTTTTCCCATTAAGTGGAGCCTCTAATCCTTGCTTATGCTAGTGGTGCTGCTGCTGCTGCTTTAAACACAGAATTGGGTCAAAGTGTTTACACATTCATACTTAATCCTGAAGTCCGTTTTCAGCCCAAACTCCCTACCAGTCATCAACTGCAAATTAACGTAAGGAAACATGTAAAAAGCATTCATTTAAGATATAGAAGTATCTTTCCAGATAGTATTTTATACATTTGCCTTAAAATATACCAAATTTGTGAGATTCTGCCCCATTTTCTTAATAAAGCCTAAAACATAAGATACAATCACAGCATATAGGGGAGCTAATCTTGTCCTTCAGCAGGCTTCTGCATGCTTTCTGTTTTAGAGAGTCATCACCATTTCATCCTGCAAGAGGCATTATTATTACTCTTACATGATTTATGGCTCAAAGTGCAAGAGATGGTGCAAAGATCCTGTGCCAAATTCCCAGATGGCATATAACATGAGCCAAACTGCAAAAGACTTGTAAGTATGGGTATATCAGTTTCATCAAAAGGGGGAAAGAAAGGGGTAGTATTTAAAAAATGTAAAGGGAAAAAAAAAAAACCAAAGAGCAAAGGGTTCCAAATACTGGGCACAAAACCAGACAGGTTTTTGTGTGGTTTTGGGGGGGGGTCCCTCTCTTTTTTACAGTCTTGTAATTCTGAACAGCAGTCATGGATATAGCCTTGCCATTAAAAACGTAACCCCTGGTTAAAAATAATGACAGGCATTACAGAAATTAAAAAAAATAAGCAGATTTCAGCTTAAGTCAAGAGAAGTGGAGCATCCCTTCATGAGCCTATTTTTCAGGTGATGTTTCTTCTGATGTTGTTTTAACGTGTGAACACTACCCAGTTCAAAACCAGTATAGTTTGAAAGCATCTGCTGCTAAGTCCAACAATGACTGCAACAGGACTACACTTAGTTTTATTCAAATACGGTATTTTTTAAAAAACAAAAAATTTGAAGACATTTTAGATCAGTTACATTTTTAACTTGATAACCTAATATTAAAAAAAAAAAACAACCAAAACCAAAGAAAACCAGAAAATTCAAAATGGGCATTTATTTGATGCTTTTAACCAAGCAACTGTGATTTCCTTCTGCTTATTTCACTTTTTTTTTTACTAGAACTCACTTAGTATTCTAAGATTTTTGATATAACAAAGAACACTAAAAAATACATTCTCCAATACTTTAATCCCATGTTTATAAGCATGCCAGAGCTTAATGATGAACCACTTAGAAGAAAAAAAATCTGCAAATCTGAGGCTGGCAGACCTGTAAACAACAACAGCAGAGTGCTTTACCTTCTTGTGATTCTTGTAAACATTTCTGTGGGCAAATCCCTTTCCACAAAGCTTGCATTTATAAGGTTTATCTTCACTGTGTATTATTTTGTGTGCAGTCACTTGATCAAGTCGTTTGAAGGACTTATTGCAAACCTCGCAGGTGTAGGGGCGTTTTTCTGCAGAAAATGAGTGGGGGACATTTAATCTCCTGTTTATACAGGGGGAGAAGATGAAAGACAGAGACAGTCATCTCCTCAGAGAGATTTTTGCAATTAAGTCAACCCAATTAAGATTAAACCAATTAGAAAGACATCTAATGCCCTTTATGTTAGACAGTTAAGTCACTTCACAAAAGATGAGCCATGGTGTATCTCAAGAAATTGGCACATTCTTTGCAATATTCGTTGCTAAAACTAAATTCTGATTAATTAGCTTAAATCAAAAGAGAATGACTTCAAAGAGGAAAACTCTGTTTCCAGATTAAAAATGTGAAAGAGGGCATGACAGTTTAAATGTTTTAAAACTTAATTAACAATATACATATTAGCTTCCAAAACCAAAAGTGCCTATGCAAAACGCCTTTATGCTTCAACTGGTGACTGCAACTTAACTATATTAATGCTCATCCAAAAGTGTCAAAAGAAAGCTAGGAGCCTCTGAGATATAGATTATGTTACAAGAAATGAGCTTTTGGTGCGGACTGATACCAAGAAAATAGTTCAATTATAAGCCTGTGCAGCTGTAAAAACCTGCATTTTTTAAATGCTAATGTATTTGACAGAACAATGTTTGTGTTTCCATTGTGCTGCTTGATGTTTCTAATCACTGCTGAAAGACATAGAAACACTAGATTGCAGTGATCAGAAATCCTGGCAGAGCCAATTTGAGTCATACTGCCAAACCTATGGACAGGCCACTCCCTGCTCACAGTGACCTGTTCTGGCAGAGGACAGGCACAATGAAACACTTGTGTGTGGTCTGTGAAACAGTGTGGAGTATGAGCTGCTTTCCTCTGACTGGAAACTATGTGCACATAAATCCACTAATATATATGAATATATGAATGAATGTTCCGCTTTTTATCACAGATCTCTGTCTGACAGCATACCCCAGCTCCCATCCTCTTCTCTTCAACATGAAATTTCAACCACTGGTTCTTCACCTCCTCCATAAGCCAAATAGCAATCTTTGCCCCATCCCAGCTAACTGACATCATCTACCCCAGCTAGCATGAAAAAATAGCTTGACAAAGCAGCAACAGGAAGGAGACTATAGCATTACACTTGGGTTTTTGAAAGGCTTAGAAAGGATAGTTTAGATGGCTTTCTTGGAACACGAGATTTGCTTGAACAGCTCAGGACAACACAGAATTCATCAAGCTTTCTATAAGAAACTAATTCAGGTAAAATTCAACATACCTTAAATACATATACACACATATATATAGGTTTGTGGGGTTTTTTGTAGGTTACCTGAATGAGTTATCATATGGCGTTTTAGCTGGTTAGCTGAAATAAATTTCTTGTCGCATTCTTGACACTCAAAGATCTCATGCACCTGCAAAATGAGTGTTTAATGACAATTAAATATGTGTTTCAAACAAGATCACATATCTTACATATAAATTCTCTAACAGACCATAATTATTTCTTAGCCAGTAGCTATACTAATACTCATGAATATTCTCTGATTTCCCCCTTGCTAGTCCCTTAGTGAACAACTGTATCTCTCAAAAAATAAATATTCATAACAGCAAACAAAAAATTATCACTCAAACTATATTTAGAAATGCAGATTATGCAAATTTGCAATATCAGAACCATTTAAAATATCATTATTATGAAAGCATTAAAAAACCCCAGATGCAGAACACCTTTTTCAGAACATTTCCTTCTAGTCAGTAAGACATAAGTAAAAATAACACGGTAACTACTTCTTAAGTGCTGTAAGAATTTTAAAAGCAAGTACTACAAACTCTTTCAGGATTGTTTCTCATAAAAGCTTTTAGAGGCAAGGCAGTGGAGGGGCAGCAGCACCTCTTAAACTGTAAATGCAGTAAGCATTAGCAAGATTTTCGACACCACAGCACATAACATCATCAAGGATTAAATGTTGGAAAAATAGAAGAGGCAGTTGAGAGCTGCAACTTCTGATACTTAATTAAAAAAAAAAATCCTGTGTTATTTATTGTTCCCCAAAATCACAACACATACATAGTTCTCCACCTGTCAAGATTACCATTCACCTTCCGCTCTGTATTACATTTGCCATCAGCAGCCTCCCCTCAACCTAGTTAGAGTGCAACTGAACATACATTTCAGCTTTTTGGAACTGCAGCCTTAGACAGCAAAACTTCTGGGCAGGGATCACATTTCATAAAGCTTTTTTGGAGAACTCTATAGACTTTCTGTAGGGGAATGTAGAAGCTAAAAATAACAAACATCAAAGGCTCAACACAATATCTAATGAAAAACATTCGCAGACGGCACAGTAAAAAAGCTCAACTAAGACTTCCACTTCAAACAAACAAACAAAAAAACCCAAAAAGAGATTCTCCATAAGTATTCTGCCTCAGCATGTTTTTATGCCACTACTCGCAAACTAACTTTAGAGCAAGTTAAATGTTTTAATAAACTAAAAAGTGGGTAAGCCATTTCCTACAATCTCTGCAAACTTGCACACTTGGGACAGTCATGCCTAAAAAAATGCTCAGACAGAATCAGGTGGTAAGCTCAAATAAAGATCATTCATTCTAAATATTTTGTTTACCCAGCTGCATTTCAGAATGATTTCTCTTACATGCACACACAATCTACTACTCCACCATTTCCAAAAAGATCTAAATTTTTACTTAGATTGTTAACTGAAGTTTACATAATTCTGCAACCAAGTGCTATCAGAATCCCCCCCTACACAATTACTTGAAATAACTTAAGGTATTCTTAAACATAATATTTAATACATCACAACCCAGACTGTGCTTTAACACTATACAAATGTCTGATTTCAACTTATGAGCATTGTTTAATAAACAGTTTCATTGAATATATTTGCGTCAAAACAGAGACTTCCATGCATGAGCATTAAAAAGCTACAGCTATCAAATATATATTCTATAGCTGATACTCTTTAATCAATTCTTTAGAAAAGAATCAGACACAGACTTGTGTGCATGTGCATTAAATAGCTGTAGCTATCAAGCATATATTCTATAGCTGGCATTCTTTAATCAGTTCTTTAGAAAAGTGCACAATTACATGGTATAACAACAGTAATAAAATATAGCAAATATTTTTATGAATAATGATATTCAAACAGATTTTCATGTTAAGAAAATTTGTCAAGTAACATGCTTTATGAGTATACAGGCTGTAATACCACAGACAAGTACTCGTTCAATGATTTATGCACATAACGAAATTAGTCTCATTAGGGGGCTGTAACAGCTATCAACATAAACCTCCTTTACATTAAAGTCAGAACATACTTAGAATTGTTTCATAGGCATTTGAAGAGCTACACCTCTATGTAACAACTTGTTAAGTGCTACACAAAACAGCAAGCATCTAAACAAGGTCAATATATGCTGAGATAAATATACTCCTTCATTTACAGGACTGACTATCTTAAAATTTTCATTAGGTCCATTGAAGAGCAAAAGGTCATTCAAATGACTTTTGGGGGTGAAACTGAGCTAAAACTTAGAAGATACAAGTAATCCACGATCAGCTTTCTCAAAAACTAATTTCAGTTTCAATCTACCACTCCAAGAACTGGATGAGACTCTGTCTGTTGGAAGGCAGTGCTTTGAGAGAGCAAGGATATGAGAATATTGCATCCAATTGAAATTATTAAATGTTATTGACAATTTTAAAGTGGTGTTCAAAATTTCATTTCCTGTACCTTGATATGGCTTTCATAGTGATTGTGAAAAATAAAGATTGCACAGTAGAACAAAACACTACCCAATGTTGAACAAAAGGGCAGAAAAAACCCAACACAGATGCTTGGAACTGCCAGGTGAAAAAAAGCGGGGGGGAATCACACAATGTTTGAGAGTGATTCTCCTCACCATAACTTTGCAAGAAGTAGCTCTACAACAGAGAAAGTTAAGAAAGAATCAAGGATTTTTCATAAACAATAAAACATTCTCAGTCTCTTAGAACAAACAATGAGTAGGATCCTTCTTGGTTCTGTCATTTTCTCTCCAGCAGACTGTGCTACAGCATGCCTCTTAATGGAATCTTACAGATTCATGTAAGAAATCTGCTAAGATATCCAGAACAGCAACAGCACAAACTAGGCTTACCAGTGAAGCACAATTCTGTATTTCATACAGGCATTTGTTTTATGACCTTTTCCAAAGTCAAAAAAGCTTTACTGCCTTGCACTCCTAGGTGTCCTTAATCTTCTTTCTTAACAGGACAATTAGCTACTTTACCATTGAAAACACCTGCCTACAACAAAAGTCAGAAACTGACCCCACAGTTGTACAGCCAGAAAGAGACATAAACTCCCAGCCTATCTACAAGTACTGGAAGTGTAGCACTATCGAGTCTGACTGCATCATCCTGGAAATGTGCTATTCACATGTATATGCTCACTTTCAAGTTTAAGTTCCTGTGAGCAATTCAAATCCAAAACATGAGACACCTATATTCAAAGGTACTAAAGCAACCCTTTAGCAAGAATCTGCGTCAATGAAGACAACACTCTCCTCACTTGCTTGCTCACTATTATCATCGTTGAATGACTGAATTTTGCATTTTATTTAAACTTCAGAACTTAGTATCAGAATACAATTCAGATGGCATTTCATTTGCTCTGGCAATAGACATCACAAACCTGCAGAAAGGAGATTTTACAACAAACTTTTTCATTCTATTACCCAATCTTCTGTAAGCTCCTGTACAGCATTTCCCAAGTTGTGTTTGCTGGGAATTTATTTTTTTTTTTTATACTACCATATCACTTAAGACCCCAAATCATGGACTACTACAAATATCAGATAGAAGGATGTCACTTTACAACTGGAGGATAAGACAAAAGAGAATAGGTGGATGGATATAGACAGAATGAAAAACAAAAAGATACAGATCACCACAAAAAGCAATAATATCAGTAGATCAACATAATAACTGTTGTTAAAGTTTTGTAGGCATCATGCAGGAGGAGAGTTGTATTATGGTAAGTAGTTTTGGAAATCAAATATAAAATAAAAAATGTAGATGAGACTATTCTGGGTAGGACTGTAATCACTAAGGAAGACAAGATCAGAATCCAAAATGTTTTCCACACTCTGAATGAAGCTCCAAAACACTCAATATTTAGGAAGGAGAAATCAAATGCACAAATGTTACATGATGACCAACAGTTTACATAGCACCACTACAGAAAGCATTAATGAATTCCAAACAAAATATGAATAATGAGATCGATGCTGCTGTTAGAAAGCACTGTCCTTCTGAGATGTATTAATAGACATATTCTCTGTATTAATAAACTCAGGACAAGCACTACCAAGGGCTCAGCTAAGCATCGCTGTTGTTCCTGTTTGGGCAGCTGACTTCAAGAAGCGTACAGGTGAAAAAGAGAGAATCCACAGGAAGCAAAAGTTTACTAAAAGAAAAAGTAGTTTGGAAAAAACAGATGCATGAAGAAAGGTTGAGATAACTGTGTTTGTACAGCCTAGGAATTGCAAATGGAGTTCATAACAACTTTGCAATATGCTAACTGTTATTAAAAAAGACAGTGGTGAATTTTTCTCAGCGTTCTCTCACATAAGAGAATTAACTGATTTGCAGGAAAGAAAAAGATATAAGTAGGACATCAGAAAAAACAAACACCGGACTAATGAAGACATTCAAAAAAGCTGATAGCACTAAAGCTGAAAGTCAGAATACAGAGACATCTATGGAGGTGGTAGAATTTTCTTTAGTGGAACTTTTCAAGAGATGAGACAGCACGTGTCTAGGATGATTTAGGTACACACTTACTCCCCTCTGCAAAATAGAATAGGCTAGAAAACCTCCTGAGGCCTCTTCCAGCCCTACAATTCCTTGAATTTATTGAGATAAACTAAAAAAAGAAAAAAAAAATCCATGGCACCAGAAATTAGCATGGTACAAGCAACAGTCTGGAAAACAAGAAGGTAAGACTAAAGGGCAGAAGATAATGACAGCAAAGTTTAATTGTGCATGGCTAAGAAAGGGCTTATCTTTAGACATTTAAGGCACAAGCAAGACACGCAAAGCTAAAATTGGGTTTAAGTCAAAGGTGACATGAAAGCTACAGATCTGAATGACAATGTCTACAAAGAGTAAACAGATCTCAATCTCCCCTATAGCCACCCTCTTTACGTTCTTTCTCTGTTTTTGTCAGATTCCTCTCTTTCTGTTGTTTTGGCTTATTTTCTGTTATCTCCTATACTTTACCTTTCTGTTCTCTACTTTTATTTCTTTACATTGACAGGAAATGGGTTAAAAAAAAAATAATCTCTTTTCCTCCCTGTTTCACCTATTATTCTCTTACTGGTTTTATTGCCCATCTAAATATTTTTGGCAATGTGGGTGATGGATCCCACCCCACTTCCTACAAAAGCAAAGTAATTCAAGCAAACAGAAGGCATGAGTCCTACATGCAATCTCCTTCACTATCTGATGTAGGCATGTGAACCCAGAATATCTATTTTCTGGATATCTTAAGAGGAGCTAATCAAGAAGACGAAATAAAGTTTTATGCACAAAATCTTCATGCTGATTCTTAAAATGAATCAGTGCTCAACTGACCTACCATCAATGCTACTTGAAAAGCTTGTTAGTGTATATCACAGTGTCTGCACAAAATTACAACTACTGAAACAAAACAAACATTTTAATGAAATGGACAAGCTAACCATGATATTTTGCATTTTCAGGGCCAACATAAGGTGCACCGATGTGTAAAAAATTGTAATTATATGTGGCAAGGCATACCACAATTTGGTCTGAGAAGTAATAAAGTATAGTCCTGTTAGACAAGAAATACAGGGCATATTAATACAAGCAAGGAGAAAAACAAGTTAAAAAGGAGGGGCCCCACCATTTCCTTTGCAACAACATATTTTAATTGATATCATCTATGTCCTCAATGGATTCAGGTTATAACCAGGGTATTATTAAAGACTTACAGTTAATCTGATAAACAGTACAATGTAGCTTTTTGTAAAAACAAAATCTCCTGGGTTTTAGTGATTTATCAAATTAATCTTGCAGGGACTTCCTTTGGGTATAATGGATTCAGAATCTCATATTCATAGTCCATCTGTATTTCTATATGAACCCCCTTATTTCCAATAGATGCTTTTCAAATTGTTAACCCCTCCTGTTCTGGTTATGAAAGACTACATGCATAAACAAGAAGACATTGAAAATTTGGTTTTGAGGAAGAATTTTTTTTTTTTACCACTGCATAACTAAATTACAAGTAACACCTTTACTGGTATGTCACAAAGTAGAAAGATTGACTGTATTTTGTACAAAAATTGAAGGCTCATGAACCTGTTTTATGGTCAGTATATATGCTATCATTACACAACATACTTTTACATTTAGCTTAGTGTTTAAGAATGCTGAAGAACAGCAGGCAACTTTGACTTAATGTTGGAATGCATAAATGATACAAGCACAAACATCTTTGTATTTAGTAAAAGATAAATTAAAGATTTAGGAAGGTTTTTGGTTTAACCAATTGTGATTACAAAAATAAATACCCACAATAAAATACATTGGGTTTGTAACCATGAAAGAGATTACCCAAGGGTTTGCACTACAGCAGCTTTCAAGTGACTTAAGCACCACAGTCTCACATCTTAGTGAAGTCAAAGCCTGCTGTGGGTTAGCCTTCATCTTACTGACCTTTCGATGCTCTTGGAGATTTGTTGCTGAGGAACATTTCTTATTGCACACTGAACACATCAGCTTCTTCCTAGAATTTCCTGAAACAGAAACAAAATACCACCAACATCTTAAAAAGGAAGTGCTAAGAAAGAACCTAAATGTTTCCACTGAGCCTGTGGCTTTTCACAGGTCATTTGACTGACATAAGATTTTTACATTTGTATCCCATCTTCAAAGTGTTCCATATCAGGAGTTCTCTGTGGGTGTCCAACAAACCAGTTACTTATGGAATGTAAATCAAGACGACTAGAACAATAAAGAAAAAAACCCTTCAAATAGATGTTATCACACATCATCAATCCAATATGAAGAGCACAATTCATAACTAAGAACAACTCATTTTATAGCTGAACGGTTGATTTTTATCAGAAATCAATACAGGAGTTACTGCAGCAATGACAAAAAAGATCCCAACCTGAAGTTAAAACCACCGTTTCCCATTTTTCTTTATTCAGAAAGCATTAACTATTCTACTATGTAAAACAGTATCTCATTAATGGTCTTTAACTGAACAAGACAGGGAAATTGCATTAGCACCAGATCATGAATTTAAATCTCATCTAAAATGTAAATTACAAAACAAACAGGTCAGCTACCAGATGCATTTTCCCTCCCTTTTCAGTTGCTTTAAAAAGTGACAGAGCATTTAACCTTTTATTTACCTTCTGAAATTCATTTTAGTAACCCACAAAGCTATTTTATTACAAGACAAAGCCACCACAAACCTAATTCTTTGTTTATAATTACATGCCAATGCAAGGTATTCCCTAGCTTATGTAAAAAAAATGTTCATACTACATTGAACACTAAAAAGAACAGACACAGAACAAAAGAGTTGAGGAGTACTGCTTAGTCAAGCACAGAGGAAGTATGGACCATAAGCAAACTCATTAGATGACTTCCAGCTCAATTTTTCAGACTCTTAGCATCCTATATCTTTCCTGCTCTTGCTGTCCTAAAGAATTCATATTATATTGATTCTTGTTAATACAATGTACCCTGACAATCAATTGGTTCAATACTTAAATTTGTAGCATGAAGAAGTACTTAATCTCACATATGCATTTGCTGTTATAAAACGTGTAAGTATTTATATATACTGATATACACATAAATACAGGAATACACTTAGTACTTCAACTTATAAGAATATTAATGACACCTGCTCAGAGGACAGAAAGGTGATAATGAGTATCTGTTCATAGCTTTGCATAACAAACAACACACATAATCCTTTCTACTTTCCCTTGCTTCCAGGTAACACCAAGCAGGAAGGAATGCTGGAAGTGTCCCTCAACAACAGTAGGTTATTTTCCTTCCTGCATTGACACCAGTTGTGATTTCTATGACTCCCAAGTGCTAAAATAAAGACTCTGCTCATTGTGCAGGCAGAGCAAAAATATCTTCCAGGCATCTGTTCTCAGTCATATCTAAAGTGATCATTCAAGAGAATTGTGGAATTTGTATACCACTACACAACTGACCAAAGCATAACAATGCTCATGGATGAAAAAAATTCTTACTAATACTCAAAAAAAGGAGATAATCTTTTATAAGAACGGTTATGGAAGGGTTTCTGTATGCTGCAAGAGTTTGGCAGAAGAAAGAGGTTTCATGTAATGAAAATCTTACAAAGCATCTCAGTGCTGTCATCATCAACTAAAGACTCTATTCTTTGCACTTCGGTATTCTGCTGTCCCCACACATACTGATCTTCCATTGACATTGAGAGGGGACATGCAGAGAGAGCAGAATGCCAGAACTGAGATCTGCATTGTGGACCTGAGAGCAGTATTTTGCCCTTTCATGAAAACAGAGTGAAGTTTGATTGAAAACTATTGATTCACAGTGCACAGATATAAAAACGCTAGGGCCTAACGGGACTAGTGGATTGTCTGGTCTGGCTTCCTGCACAACAGAGGCTATAGAATTTTATGCAATACCCTCATCAAGCCTAATCATTTGTGAAGCATGTCTTCCAGAAAGACATCCCATTGTGTCCTGAAAATACCAAAACATCAAGAACTCACCACTTCCTGTAGCAGTTTGCGCCAATGGTTGATTTTCCTCACTACTGAAATGTTTTGCTTTATCTATTATTTGCCTAGTTTAAACTTCCCCAGATTCCTATTACATTTTCTGCAGTAGACTAATGATTCATCTGGTATACAGTAATTTCTCCCTGGGGGAGGAGGAATAGTTACTCTTGCAATTAGTTACCTCTCAATTTTCTTTTTGATACAAATGAATCTATTAAAAAAGAAACCAAAGGCAATGTTTACTCTAAGTTGCAAATTTAAAGCCATGAACATGTTATAGCATTTTGGTTTTGTTTGTTTTTTTCAAAAAAACCATTAAACTCTTTCTTACCACTGTGAACATTTTCTTTATGTTTTTTCAGGGCATCCTTACTCTTGAACCTCTTCCCGCAGCTATCTGCCTTGCATATGAATCTGGCATCCCCTCTGCATGCCTCCTTGTGCTGCTCATAACTATATGGGATAACCAGTAAAAAAAAAACAAAAACCAACACATAAAGCAGTATCTACAGAAACCAGACACACAGCAAGTACTCTGAGCTTAACGCATGCTGCTCTGCAGAGTTCCAAGGCCACCTCATGCATTACTTACAGCAAATAGGAATGAAAGCATTTGACTTCTTTCACTGTTAGGATTCACATAAACTAACAAGCTTGAAAGCTAACATGCAAAGGGAGGCCAGCAATGATATGACAGCAGTCCAGTAACTCAGACACAAAACCTCGATTCTGAGCTGAAGGAAGTATTGCAAACAGAGCACTGAAAACTTCTTGAAGAGTCTCCTGGGCTGATATTCTCTGTGCACTGAAGTACACTAAAGAAAAATAAAATAATAAAAAAAAAAAAACAAAAAACAACAAAATAAGGGGAACATTCTACAGCTTACACAGGCTTGCAGTAGCTAAAAGCATATACACAGCTCTACAAATATTTAAGTAGGCAAGTAATCTATTTCATATGTGAAGTGTCCTGGAATTTAGTGGGATTAAATCAAATACATAAACAGCAAGAGTCAGGAGGATACTGCTGTATCCTCACACAGATTAATTTTACTTTGCATGATGTAAAAATTTACTTAACTAGCTATACAGCACAAATCCAACTTCCACTATAGACTAGAAGGAACAAGTCTAAGTTCAAGAGAAGGTATTTAATTGCCTCCACCAAATACTCCTCTGCTATGTAATTTTATTAATTTCCATGAAAGAACACAGAGCCCATACAGAGCTGCCAGTTCTAGGAATGTTCACATTATTCAGATGTAAGAAAGATCAATTTATTACAAGAGTAGCCTTAAGTGCATTCCATGCAACATAAGCCTGTTTCTTTCCAATACAAGACAGTTAGATTAAATGTACTATCTATAATCACTTAAGCATCTAATCTACTATCTGTAATTAAATGTAAAATAAAAATTAATATAACTTTAACTGCAAGCAAAAAATACATAAACGACAAAAGACAAAAGACAAAAACAGTTATGTTTTTGGACAAAAGTATAATTGCAAGGTATACAACTTTAGTGACAAAACTGCATATTTACACTATCAAGGGCAGTAAAGATGTGCTCTTAAATCTCACATCTTTCATGTTTATATCTGGGGTTTTTTTCCATCATCCAAATATTTATTTAATCAAACATAAAGCATCATTTTTCCTTTTTTTTTTCCTTCTAGATCACCATTTACTTTCTTCTAAATCTTACTTTTGTTCTGTAATGACATCCACAGCTTAAAAACTACATCTCCTAAACTACTAAATAGTCCACTGATGGAGACCAACATTTTTGCACCAAACAGCAGCTCTGATCTGGTCTACAGTGTATGACTAAAACATAAAAAATCAGCAATATTTTTGCAATTCAAATTGAAGTCTCCCACAAATACAAGAAATTAACGTATTAAAAGACTAACGTAAAGGGTAAGGGTACAAATACATAAGCATAAAAACTAAACCTTAAATTGTGATTAAGCCAAGAGAAATAAATGGTTGAATGAAACTGATTTAAATGATCCCTGAAAAAACACTCTTGTTTCTACTCACTGTCTTTGTAGAGCTTGTTTAACAGGGAATTTCTTTCCACAGTTTCGGCACTTAAATTCCTTTTCCTCACTGGGTTTTTGATGCAAAGTCTGAAGATGTTCAGCTAGAATCTCTTGGCTGGCAAAACTGGATTCACAGTTTGGGCATGCATGGTCCTCTTTACAGGTGAGGGGATCTGCATGATTGGAGGCAAAAACAGTAAAGGAATAGTTTTCAGGGAATATTTTAGTTACTTGTTAGGAGACACCCTCTGCCAGAAACAGATTATGCAACGTGGCATCGCAAAATTCACAAAAGACATTGTCTCTGAATGGATTATAGACAGCCTATCTTGAGGGGGTTACCATCACCACTATTGAAAATGGATGCAAAGTATTAAGTCGGGTATGACTTAGGCCGTTAGCCTAAATTAGTCATCCAGGTTGTCTCTACTCTGATAAAGATGCCGAGAATTCACCAGACAGCTCAGGTCACCTACCTTTCCTTAGGCATCTTACCTTAGGATCAGGTGAATAGTTTTATGAAAAGGCTTATTTCTCTCCCATCTAAGTAAGAGGGGAACTACCCCTCTTAGAGCAAAAACTTAGCTTTCATAAGACTATATGCCAGGTGAAATGAACTCCATTTTTAGTTCAAAAATTAATGGTAACATCATGAAATCTAGGCTCACTCATTCACTCACTAATTGACAGGACTGGCTGCTTCTTATTAGGCAAAGAAAAGAACATCAACTGAAACCAAAATAAAGAGATAAAACTCATACAGGAGCTCAGACTAAACCTGGGGAGCCTTCCAGTTCCCTAATCCTATACAGTTAGTGTTCTCTTTCTTCTTTGTTACTACTTTTAAGCTCTCAAGTTATCCTATTTTTTACATATTGTTCACCTGCAATTTTTTCACCAGCTGGTTGCACTTCTTTATTGTTGCCACTGTCTTCATCTTCTTGGATAACAGCTACTTCTTCCTCCTCCTCCTCCTCCTCTTCCATGTCACTGTCCAAGTACCCAATCAGAAGTTCTGTGTCTGTTTCAATATCTTCCACAGCCAGATAGAAAATATTTTCCCCTTCCTGTTGCAAACAGTAAGCAGAAGCAATGAATAATTGTCAGAAAAAGTAAAATCTAGAGGCAAGTATGGGACCCTGAACTAATATTGGCTCTCAATTATGGAAGGGCTGGCTCCATTCCTCAGGGAGCACAACGCTAGAACAGCCTTTCTAAGACTTTTTTCCCAGTGTGGCTGCATGGATAAAGTGCCCTTGCATTCTGGAAATATTCCCCTGCCTCACCTGTGAGGCTTTTCCAACATGCACTGTAGCCTAGACCAAGGTGAAGGTGGTGTTGAAGTCCTCCTCTCCTGCCACACTCTGCCTGACAAGAACTTCAGAGTTTGAAAATGAAACATATGAGTATTAGAAAAATAACAAAATTTAAATAACCAATACAGCTTTAGCTCTGTTCCCTGTTTACTGCATGAATTATAACCCAGCTTTCAGTAGCATGTTTACATAATGTTATTTTCTCTCTCTCAAGATTCCCAGCCTTCTTCATGAAGAGGCTTTCAACCCTGGCCAGTTAACTTCACTATCAAGTTAGCAGGCACATCTGTAAAAGGTACTTTAAACCACTAGATCAAAACCTTCTGCTGGTTTAAATCAGTGTAGATACACAGATCCACAGAAGGCCAAAGATCCAGCCCAGATTCTGCATGAGAGGACAAACTACATAACAATAAGCTCCAAAACCTTCTCCACAATGAATGAACAAGCTTCTGAATAGATACATAAGCTAACAACTTTGGTCTTTGACAATATTTAATTAAAGTTACCAAGGTTGGCACTGGGGCAAGGGGAGCAGGCAGGGTGAGGGGGGGATTTATAGCAAAACCACCTGTCTCCTAAACTGATATACAGAGCCACTTTTTTTTTTTTTTTTGCCATATGTGAACCAACTGCTTTACATACTACCCAAACCAGCAAAGGAGACTCAGTTTTATGCAATGAAGACTTCCAAGTGCTATCATAAATCTTAAAGCTTATCTGATTAACATCCAGAAAAGTTAACTGAAGCTTCTTTACACTACATCTAGCCATGTATTTTGTAACAAGCTTCCTACCACAAGGACAAGATAATGATTTTTAATTTTTGTAATATACTAAGATTAATTTAAACTATCAACAGAGATGTAGCATTCCTCAAGTTTTAGAAGGTCTGTTATATATTACACAAGATATTGTCACACAAGAGTGAAACCTATTTAACTCAATAGACTTGATAGAGCTGCTGCTTTCAAGAACACACCACCTTTCTGTCCTTATCTCAACAGCAGCATTTGAAAACAAAACAAATTATGCATTTTTTTCAAGATATATTCTGCAGTCCAGATATCTGTCAGCATGCCACCCTAACTTTTGGATACATCTGGAAGTTGCTGGTTTTCATATGCTTCTGTCAAGTTGCAGAGACCTTTAATTTACTACAGTCTAAACTCAAATCATGTACTGAAACTCCTGACATGAGGAAAAGCAAAACGTCTTTCTATACTCAGTCTCTACTTAGACAGGATAAAACCACTGGGGTAAACCTCTACTACATCACTGTTTTGGACAACCTTATTCTAAAAGCAAGACAACCTTATAAATGGAAGCACTTACCTATTACTGACTTGCCAAAAAAAAAAAATAAAATTAAAAAAAAAAAAAAAAAAAAAAAAAAGGAACGAGCCATGTATCCCAGGCAAAAATCAAGTCCCAAACTTACTCATTAAAGAACCAAATAGCACACCTTTCAATTAGATCATAGATGACACATCTTACACCACACAGTAAATCTGGAAGAACAGCAACCAGAACTAATTATTCGGGTTAACCTAGACCAAGCGCATGAATCCCAACAACCAAGCTCTTACAAATACTGTTACATCCTCACCATCTCTGCACTTCCCTTATGTGCATCTGGGGCTTATTTTATAGCTCTGTGTCTAAAAACATCCTGGTTCTTTCCCATTTGCGTACTTTTGGTTAGTAAAAAATTAATGGAAGAAGTACTAAGGACTCTCAATGCTTGAGCGCCCTTGGTTGCATTCGCATTGAAAAGAAATCAGCTTTGGTGCCAGCCCAAACTAAAACACAGCTCAAACTCATTTCTCCTCCAAGGCTAATTTGTTTGGCTTTTCCAGCCAAACATGCTAATATTCAGGTATTCGGAGCAGTAATTAATCCAGATATACCCACACTGTAGTAGCTCCTCAAGGCAGCATTTTCAGTGAAACCAGTAGAAGTACTGCAGAATCCACAAAGGAATTTAAATCTCTCCCTCCAGCAGCAGCACCTGCATGAAGCACATTTATCTACATGCACGCAGACACAGACACAGTGAACATAGAAATGGGAGGATTATTAAAATTATTTGAAAGATTTCTTACTAAGAACACACCTGCAGTTGTTCCACCTGCCGCCTGCTTAGGCCATGCTTCTTGTTTTGCCAAAAACATTCATTTGCAACGGGCCACAATGGTCCTTGAGAGAAAACTCAAGTGCTGGTCATGGTGGCATCACAATCTCCTTTCACACTATTCCTGGTTTATTATTCCACTTTGCTTCTCTTATCCCCCTGCCTTGACTGTCATCTTTTAAGCTATAAGCCACACTCACCTGCCCAGCAAATACAGTCTTCTTGTTCCAACAGCTCTTGCTATCCCAATTTTGCCCCACTACAGGCACCTCTCCCATTCAGATTCTTGGCTTTTCCATACAGTTACACACCTTCACGTGCACTTTGTAAGAGGGGAGGCTGAGAGGGAACGTGGGCCAAGAAGCATTGACAGCCCATCACGCTTTCATCCAAAAGTGTAAGATAGATATGTCATCACTCCTGAAAGCTGAAAACACAGGAGGAGCAGAAAGCAGATAGTCTTGTGTTACCTAAGGGAAAGTAGGGATTCTCCATCCTCCAGAGCTTGATCAGCTGGCTCCAACCCAGCCTTCCTAATCTTTACCAAGTTTCCCCCTGTGCCCATACCACTCCTCTTAAAAGTGCTCCTGGCTTCCCTCTACACCCAATTTCCTGACAGCAAGCCAGCTCTTCAGCCTACCTGTTCTGCCAGTTGCACATTCCCTTTCCTATCTTTGCCTGCAGCTCCAGGGTGTCATGTTTGCCAGAGTAAAACCAATCTTGGCAATGTCTGTGAGGGCAGAAACCCTAATCCAGGAAACATGTGGAGGTGATTTCTTGGGGGCTGTGGCAGGAGAAGACAAAGCCACAAGCTCAGGCACAGGAAAGGTCAAAAATGGCATGCAGTGCCAGGAAAGACATGATCAGAAAAACGATGCCTTCCCAAGAGGGAGAGCAGATCAGGTGCCCCCGGGGGAGAGTGGGTGAAGCAAGACAGCCTTCCAGAGGTGCTGCTGGGGACCAAGAGACCCTTGCCCCTCTCAAGGAAGGAAGGGGAAATGGATGGCACAAAGAGACTGAGGGAAGCTTTTCTTGTTTTCGCACTAGTTCATAAATAGGAGAATGCTTGACTGTTTAAGGCATATATCTCTGTCCCACTCAGTCTGCTCCTGGGCATGCAGCATGTTTGTGGCTCTCATTAGCCAGGAAGCAGATGGATCCCAGAGAGACCTCTCCTCAAAAAAACCCAAAACAAAACAGCTTTAACACACATGTGTAATGGAGATGTTCTGCCCAGGAACTCAGACTATATCTAATCTGAAGTATAGCACCTGAACCACACACAAAGGAGATACAGAAGCCTTGACTCTGTCTGTTGATCTATTCCTATTGTGCTGCATTGCGTGGTAAGGTAGACGAACTTTTGTGTTATGGTAGGACAGCCTTTGAGATGTAAACGTGAGATTAAACAGAGCATGAGGTTAAACTAGTATGGCAATTCCTACATTTCTCTTGTGTTCTTACGCCATACTACAGGTTTTAGTTATAGCTCCTGGTGAAGGTTCGAATATTTTTCCAGCTGAATATTCTGTATTATGACAGACGTTTTTTCTTCTTTATTCTTTGGTTGCAGTTATTATCTTGCACTAAATTAGAAGCCATTGCTTTTAGTTTCCCATCTGCAGAAGAATGTGGTTTACTGCAGTAATGATACTACACACCCAAATCTTGCAGTTAAACTGCTCAGGAATTTGAATGATGTGTACAATAGCAATACAAATAAGAGCTGGAAGAATTATTTTTTTTCCCCTGCCCAAAGGTACTCCTCCCACCCTTCACCGTACATTTCAAATCAGTACACACTTTCCAATCCTCCAGCTTAAGAATAAAATATTCTTGTTTCTCTGTGGGGACAAGAAAAAACTAAAGTAGGAGTTCAAAAAACTAATTCCAGCAACACCACAATTCCAGCGGCTCTATAGAGAACCACTGAAAATTTTGATTATTTCTTCATGGAAAGCTTTTGTTGTGAAAAGTATAACACTTTGGCATTTTTCCCCTGCCCCAGGAAGGTTGATATCAGCAGCATTTTAATGGCATGTGCTCTGTACATGCCCAGTATGGCACCCCTTCCAATACTGGCGGATATTAATGAACCTATAATATCCTGAACTGAGACACTGCATCTTACTCTTGGAAGTCTCCTTTAGAGGCTCTGTGGAAAATACAAACCATCAATTACAAAAAAAACCAACTCTTGCTTAGATTTGAGCAATGTGTTTACATCCTTCTTTTTACAGAGGAAAGCTACAGGTTTCCCAACTTTAGTTATACCTTCTCTCAGAATTACAGAATGAAGGCACCTCTGGAGGTTGCCTCATCCAAGCCCCCTGCTCAAGCAGGGCCACCTAGAGCAGACTGCCAAAGACCATGTCCAAATGGCTTTTGAATATTTCTAAGGAGGGAGACTCCACGGCCTCAATGGGGAATGTGTGCCTATTCTCAGTCACCCTCACAGTAAAAAAAAACAAACAGTATTTCTTGATGTTCAGAGGGAAACTTCTGAGTTTCAGTTTGTGTCCATTGCCTCTTGTACTGGCACTGGACACCAAAAACCCCAGATCCCTTTCTGCAAAGCTGCCTTCCAGCTGCTTGGGCCATAGCACTTAAGGGTGCA